GCTTGAATTGGATCCGGAAACAAATTGGAGCCAATGGAGCTGTTTCAGTGGGGGAGTGGTGTGCTCCATGGAATAAGCTCCAATAAGTAACCCGGCTGCTGTTCTCTGGACAAATTGGAGTTTCTGAACACTTTTCAAGGGCACTCCCATGTACAGCGCATTGCAGTAGTCCAAACAGAATGTAATTAATAATAATAATAATAATAATAATAATAATAATAATAATACTTTATTTATACTCCATCCCATATAGGGAAAGAACTAGCCAGCTTCCAGCTTGTTTCCAGACACAATTCAAGGTACTGGCTTTAGCCTATAAAACCTAAATCATTTGGGCCCAGCCTACTTGAGGGACCACATCTCCTGCTTTGAGCCCTGAGATCATCTGAGAAGCCCTTTTCTCGGTCCCACCACTGTCACAAGCGCTTTGGTGGGACCAAGAGACAGGGCCTTCTTTGTGGTGACCCTGCGGTTCTGGAACTCCCTTCCTAGAGAGGTGCAATCAGCCCCCTCTTTGTGAAATCAGGCCTTTCCCGATGATCTATAACAGTGGTTCTCAACCTGTGGTTCCCCAGGTGTTTTGCCTTACAACTCCCAGAAATCCCAGCCGGTTTACCAGATGTTAGGATTTCTGGGAGCTGAAGGCCAAAAACATCTGAGGACCCCAGGTTGAGAACCACTGATCTATAACAATAGTCAGGCAGCTGTTGGTGATGTACATCTCTGAAGGTTATTTCTAACATGGTAATGTTAGAAGGTCAAAAAAGACTGAGCAAAGTTTTTACACAGCCTAAATAAAAATGGAGTTTTTGGATCATAGCACAACTGTTTGTATTGATATCCTCAGTGGTCTGGTGTTCAGAGATTTTTTAATACTGTATGTTGTAATTTATTAATTTGTTTTATATGGATTATGAAATGTACAATCTGTTTGTTTAGTTATAATGTTTCTGTTGAATTTTATGTTTTAATTTCTGTGACTTTTAACACTGTACACCGCTTTAAATCCCACCCATGGGAAAAATGTAGGATATAAATAAATAATGGTCTGCACTTTGAATTGGGCCCAGAAGCATATAGTGGACAAGTGAAGCTCCTTTAATCGGGGGGGGGGGGGGGGGGGTACATTCCTGATAGTTTGCTCCTTTCTGCAGCCTGGCTGCAGATCTTTGTACCAATTTATTTATTTATTTGAAACATTTATATTCTGCCCATCTCGACCTGCAGGGGACTCAGGGTGAAGCAACATACATACATACATACATACATACATACATATATATACATATATATATATATATATATATATATATATATACACATACATATACATATACATATATACACACACATATATATATATACACACACACACATATATATATACATATATATACATATATATATATGGCAAGCATTCAATGCCGGGACATAAAACATTAAAATCACTTATATCCACTTTAAAATCAGTTGCTTAAAAACCATCTCAGGACACCATTCTATTATTGCCTCATTGCACTGCCCCAATGGCTTGGCCCCAAAGCCAGGTCTTCACCATCCTTCTGAAGGACAGGAGGGAGAGGGCTGAACTAATATTGTCAGGAAGGGAGTTCCATAGACAGGGGCAATCACTGAGAAGGCCCTGACTCTTGTCCCCACCAAATGTGCCTATGACGGTGGCAGGACCAAGAGCAGAGCCTCCCCAGAAGTTGTATTCTCCCTGTATGCTGCCCCAGTTAATAACCTGGTTGCCTCTTGTTGAACTATTTGAAGCTTCCAAACAGTCTTCAAAGGCAACCCCACATATTTATTTACTATATTTATATACTGTCCCTCTCAGCCCGCAGGCAATTGGTACCAAGATCATAATATACAATTTCAATATAATAAAACAATCAAATAATAAAAGCATAACAGAATCAATAAAATCAATAAAATGTATCATTAGGATCTCCTCATTAAAAACATTGTCCAGTCACATTGTCAACCATTCCACTTTGCTATCTGTTACCCTGTATTTGCAAATGCCTGCTCAAAGAGCCAAGTTTTAACTCTCTTCCGAAATATTAAAAGGGAAGGGGGGCAATCTGATGTCCTTAGGTAGGGTGTTCCATAGCCGAGGGGCCACCACTGAGAAGGCCCTGTCTCTCGTCCCCGCCAACCGTGCTTGTGACAAAGGCGGGACCGAGAGCAGGGTCTTCCCAGATGATCTTAAAGTCTTGAGAGGTTCATAAGGAGAGATGCGCATTGCAACACGTAGAGCAGTGGTTCTCAACCTGGGGTCCCCAGATGTTTTTGGCCTACAATTCCCAGAAATCCCAGCCAGTTTACCAGCCGTTAGGATTTCTGGGAATTGTAGGCCAAAAACATCTGGGGACCCCAGGTTGAGAACCACTGATGTATTATTATTATTATTATTATTATTATTATTATTAACTTTATTTGTACCCCGCTAGCATCTCCCGAAGGACTCGATGCGGCTTACACAGGCCAAGGCCTCAATAAAAACATAGCATAACAAAATACACAACTTAAAACAAATCAAAGCAATTAAAGCAATACCAAACAACAAAACAATACACCAAGACACAAGAAAACAGGGCCGGGCCAATGTAATGGGTACAGGTTAAAAGTGCTGATGTGACAGGTGGTATATCGGATTTTAGGGTAAGTGCAGTGTGTGGGCAATCTTAAACTCTAATAAAGTGCTTCTGGGACATAGAATCATAGAATCAAAGAGTTGGAAGAGACCTCATGGGACATCCAGTCCAACCCCCTGCCAAGAAGCAGGAATATTAAATTCAAATCACCCCTGACAGATGGCTATCCAGCCTCTGTTTAAAAGCTTCCAAAGGAGCCTCCACCACACTCCAGGGCAGAGAGTTCCACTGCTGAACGGCTCTCACAGTCAGGAAGTTCTTCCTCATGTTCAGATGGAATCTCCTCTCTTGTAGTTTGAAGCCATTGTTCCGCGTCCTAGTCTCCAAGGAAGCAGAAAACAAGCTTGCTCCCTCCTCCCTGTGGCTTCCTCTCACATATTTATACATGGCTATCATATCTCCTCTCAGCCTTGTTACTGGAGTTTTCCTATTCTGGAAAGGCACATCGGAACAGCCAGGTCTTCAAGTTCTTCCTAAAGACTGCCAAGGTAGGGGCCTGTCTGATATCTTTAGGGAGGGAGTTCCAGAGTCGGGGGGCTACCACAGAAAAGGCCCTACATAGAGTATGTTGGATGTAGTTTCCAAGCTGTCTTCAAAGGCAGCCCCATGAAGAGTGCATTGCAGGGATACATATGAGATGTAACTAAAGCTTTGGGCCTCCAGGTGTTTTGGACTTCAACTCCCAGAAATCGCAGCCAGCTTACCACTCTGGGAGCTGAAGTCCAAAACACCTGGAGGCCCAAAGGTTGGGAACCACTGAACTAAAGCATGGACCACCGTGGCCAGATCTGGCTTTTAGAGGTACAGGCGCAGTTGGCACATAAGCTTTAATTGAGCTTCCCAGGGTCAGCGCCGAGGCCAGTGTAAGCAGTGTATCCCGACGGATGTTCTGGTCCTCAAACACTCTCTGCTTCATTCGGAAAAATGCTGCACTCGCAGAGCTCAGGCGGTGTTGTATTTCGTTGTCGATGTTGACTTTGGTGGAGAGGTGGCTGCCAAGGTAGCGGAAATGGTCAACATTTTCTAATGTTACACCATTAAGCTGTATCTCTGGTATTGGAGGGGATGGCTGGTGACTGCTGGAACAGCACTTTGGTTTTCTCGATGTTCAGTGACAGGCCAAGCTTCGTGTATGCTTCTGCGAAGGTGTTTAGAGTGGCTTGTAGATCTTCTTCTGAATGCGCACAGATGACATTGTCATCAGTATTGGGGCATCCATAGGGATACCAAGGTGCTTGTTTATAAAGCTATTGTCCTCCCAACCCTGCTATATGCCTGCGAAATGTGGACTGTCTACAGACGTCACATGCAACTCCTGGAACGATTCCATCAGCGCTGCCTCCGGAAAATCCTGCAAATCTCTTGGGAAGACAAGCGGATAAACGTCAGCATGCTGGAAGAAGCAAAGACCACCAGCATTGAAGCGATGGTCATCTGCCATCAACTCCGCTGGGCCGGCCACGTTGTCCAGATGCCTGACCACCGTCTCCCAAAGCAGTTGCTCTACTCTGAACTCAAGAATGGAAAATTGAATGTTGGTGGGCAGGAAAAGAGATTTAAAGATGGCCTCAAAGCCAACTTTAAAAACTCTGGCATAGACACTGAGAACTGGGAAGCCCTGGCCCTTGAGCGCTCCAGCTGGAGGTCAGCTGTGACCAGCAGTGCTGCAGAATTCGAGGAGGCACGAGTGGAGGGTGAAAGAGAGAAACGTGTATTGGTTTCCACCTGGAAACCAATGCCTTCACTGTGGGAGAAGGTGCGGGTCAAGAATAGGGCTCCACAGCCACCTACGAATCCACAAGGAAACCCATCATGGAAGACCATCTTACTCGTCCAACGAGGGATCGCCTAAGTAAGCAGTGCATGGACCAAATGGCCAAGTCAGATGTCTATCGGAATGGGCCATCTGGGCCCTAAAAAGCCACCCTGTGCTTTGTCTGGAGAAGGGTTTCGAAGCGGGAGAGTTTTGACAGAAGAAAAAGCAGGTCCCCCAGCTCTCTCGCTTTGTGTTCCCCAGATGGGAACTCGGACTGAGCCAGGGACTCCACAGAGGAGCGACCGGGCCCTCACAGGCACGAGGGTCCCCATGGAAACTCGGCCAGAAAACCCCTCACACTCCTCGCCCCTCAACGGCCGAGCAACGCGGCCTCCCCCCGGCCACCCGCCCGCCCTCGCACACAACCCCACGCACCGCACACACGCTCCTCCCGGAGGAGGGAGAAAGCCCGGCCCCAGTGGGAGGCCAGGAGTGCCAGCCGAGAGGCCGAGGCCCGGCGGCTCGAGAAAGAGCGGGAGGAACCGACTCCGGAGCAACTATGCCACGAACCCCCCCGCACTCACCCTGTCACAACAGGCGCCATCTTCCACAAACTCTCGCCAAAACTCCTACTCTCGCGAGAAGCGGCCAATGTGTCCGCCGCCACTAGCAGGAAAGGCGCGCGCATCCCGCATTTCCCTCCCTCCCTCCGAGAACGCGCACGCGCACGCGCACGAGCGAGAAAAACAAAAGGCCGAGGGGCGGGGCTACGGGCAAAACGTTGGCCCCGCCCACGCGCTCTGCTCACTGACTCCCAGCTGCTTCCCTTTTCCCTCGTCTCAAGAGGCAGACACAACAGGCGTGGGAACAGGAACCCAAGCCTCGCGAGACCTCATGAATAGGAGGCAGGCGCTGACATCGCGAGAGGATAGTGATAGTAAAAAGGAGGGGTGTATGTGTGTGTGTTTCCTTCCTGCCAATCATTCCGGCGCAGTGCTGTCAATAGCACTCTCCTCTCCCCCCCCCCCCGGCCAGAGAATGGAAAGGCCCTGAAACTGAAGGGAACGTCATATTCTTTAATAGAGTCATTCGCAACGCTCTAAGGACGAATCCATTCGTTAGCATGGGGGGGGGGGGGGGGGGGGGTAGGGATATACCCAGCCGTTTTAAGAGGAGAAACTACAATAAACGAATAGCTTAATTATCTTAAATTTAAAAAAAATACTTCTATGCCCATTGCTCTACTTTGTGCCTTTCGGGGTTTTGGGTTAATTTGTAACATATTGGTGTTGCACATCACTTGGACCAATGAGAAGGGCCAGAAATCCGCCTTGGTTTCTGTTCCAGAGTTTAAGGGAGCTTTCCATGGTGCTGAACTGAGTTTCCATCCATTCCAAAAATGCTCTTTTTATTGTTTTTCTTGTCTACTAGATGCGATTTTAATTCTATTGATTGTTCAAACTGTGTCGGGCTACTTGTTTATTATGGCATCGTCTGCGTACACCCACAGGAGGTTAAGAAACACAAAAAAACAAAAACTTACTTACTTAGGCAATCTCTCGTTGTCTGAGTAGCATTGTCTTCCAAGATTGTCTTATTCTTGACCTGCATCTTCTCCCACAGTGAGGGCATTGGTTTCTAGGAGGAAGGCGGTCCCGGTCGGTGTTGGCTTGACGCGCCTTCCTCTTGGCACGTTTCTCTCTTTTACCCTTCATTCGTGCCTCTTCAAATTCTGCAGCACTGCTGGTCACAGCTGACCTCCAGCTGGAGCACTCACAGGCCAGGGCTTCCCAGTTCTCAGTGTCTATGCCAGAGTTTTTAAGGTTGGCTTTGGGCCCATCTTTAAATTTATTTTCCTGCCCACCAACATTCTGTTTTTTGTTCTTGAGTTTGGAGTAGAACAACTGCTTTGGGAGATGGTGGTCAGGCATCTGGACAACATGGCCAGTCCAGTGGAGTTGATGGCGGAGGACCATCAGTTCAATGCTGGTAGTCTTTGCTTCTTCCAGCACGCTGACATTTGTCCGCTTGTCTTCCCAAGAGATTTGCAGGATTTTTTGGAGGCAACACTGATGGAATCATTCTAGGAGTTTCATGTGACATCTGTAGATAGTCCATGTCTCACAGGCATATAGTAGTTACTTATATATGTGTATATATACACATACTTAAATGGCAACTGTATAACTAGCTACACAATTTCTCCTACTAACATGCATCCCTACTCTAATGACATATAACTTTAAAATAGAAACTTGCATGCATAAGTCTGTTTTTAAGAAAGGATTTCCTGCTTCACTTTTGCTGGTCTCTCTATAATTTAGCATTTTCTTCTTCTTCCTTATAGCCAGCAAATTATTTACTTCTGCTTGTTTTTACATTAACAAATCTCTATCCCAATGGTTTATATCTTCAAAACTGTACATAAATTATATTACATATAGTGTTAGTTTTTTACCAAAGGTAATCCCTCCCTAGAAATGTCTAGCTCCTCTAGCATGATTCTATGGTCAATATCTATGGAAGCTAAGCATAGCATCGCACTGGTGGTCCTACCAAGTCATATAAAGAACATTTTAATCAGTTCCATGAATAATCAATCTTCAAAAGTCAAACCTTCAAATGTGGGGAGCAACCATAAAGCCCTGCAGCCCAAATAGTGTTCCTAAGCATAGTTATAAGCTATAGTGGTTGACTGGAGTTGGGTTAAGAATGAGGTTTCCAGCAGAGCAAAGAGGTGACATGTATTTGGGGTTTGCATCTTGCTGGTATATAAACCAAAAAATAGTGGAACATTTGGAGAGGAAAGTATGTGACCTCTACCATCCCTTACATTCCCCACCAAAGGGCCACACTCTTTGAGTCATTTTCCCCATAAAATTCTACTTCACAAATGAAGTATATCCATTTTACTCTGGTTTCAGGCCTGATTATAGGACAAAGACCTACAAATCCCTTCATAGCTCCGTTCCAGATTATCTGAAGGACTGTATCTCTTTCTATGAACCTGGGAGACATCTGCAATCGACTGGGGAGGGCATTCTCTCTGTCCCACCATACACTCAAGCATCTTTGGTAGGAACATAGGAGAGGGACTTCTGCTCCCAAATTGTGTGACTCCCTCCCAAGATATACCAGGATGGCTCCATTCCTGTTCTGCAGACAGGTCAAGACCTTCTTCTGCCAGCAGGCATTTGGGGAAGGATAAGGGGCGAAGTGTGGGATAGTTACTTGCCTTGAGTCCCCACGCAGAGAAAGGCAGGATATTAATAAAGTTAACAATAAATAATAAGATAGTTTTGGTCACCTTAGCAGATGATGTACATAGACAACTGGACAGAGGGAAGTGTGCCCCTTTTTGTTCTCCTGGACCTTTCAGTGGCTTTTCATACCATTAACCAAGGTATCCTTCTGAGTTGCCTTTCTGAAATGGGGCTTGAAGGAAATGGCTTGTGGAGTCCCTCAATGTTCCATTTTGCCTCCATGGTGTTCAACATATACACAAAACCACTAAGAGAGGTCATCCGGAGTTACACAGATAACACCCAACTCTGTCACTGCTTTTCACCTAATTCCAAAGAAGTGGTTCCTGTGCTAAACTGGTGCCTGGCCCCTGCAATGGAATTGATGAGGGAAAACAAATTAAAACTTAATCCAGACAAGACAGAGGTGCTCCTTGTCAGTCGTAAAACAAATCTGGGAACAGAGATTCAGTCTGTGTTAGATGGGGTCACACTCCACCCGAAAACACAGGTTCACAGTTTGGGGATACTCTTGGATTTGGTTCTGAACTTGGAGGCCTAGGTACCAGCAGTAACCAGGAGTCTTTTATGTAATTAAAGCTAGTATGCCAACTGCACCCAATCCTGGAGAAGTCAGATCTGGCCACAGTGTGGGTTGCAGCCTGCTTGGACTACTGTTATGCACTCTATGGAGGGCTACCTTTGAAAAGTGCTCAGAGACTTCAGCTGGTCCAAATAGCAATAGCCAGGTTATTAATTGGGGTTGGCAACAAGGGGTGTCCAACTCCTTTGTTGCAGCAGTTCCACTGACTGCCAACACATTTCCGGGAACTATTCAGAGTGATACAAAGCCCTTATCTTTCTATGAACCTGCTAGACATCTAGGATCTACTAGAGAGGGCCTTGTCTGTCTCACCACCTGCTAAAGTGAATTTAGTGGGAACACTGGAGAAGGCCTTTTCAGTGGCTGCTCCCAGACTATGGAACTCACTCCCAAGGGAGACCAGGATGGCCCCATCCCTGCTGGCCTTCTGCAGGCAGGTTAAGACTTTTCTCTGCCAGCAGGCAATTGGGGAAGGAAGAGGGGAATGCTGCAGGGGAGGCTGGAAGGAGAGTCGGGGATGATATTTCATTTTAAATCTAATTTTAATTTTATGAGTTATTTTATTGAATCTTAATCATAATTTTGAATACATGACACAACTATTTAATTACTTTTAATTGTTCTTTAACTTTTGTATTTGCCATGTTTTTAAATTTATTTGTTGTGTCATGAAATTGTAAGTTACCTTGAGAAAGGTAGAATATAAATAATAAATAATTCTGAAACAAGAGGGGAGGAAAATAAGTTTTCACTTGATTCTATGCTAGAAGGAAGGATATGTGACCTCCCCCATTCATTACAACAGACCTCATCCTCCAGGTAAGTACAATGCTTCTTATTTGTTTGTTTGTTTGTTTAATTTATATCCCACCGTTCTTCTAGAATAGGACCAAAGCAGTCTACAAACTAACAAAATAAAATGTGGCTAATTTACATGCTGTACAAAAAAATTGGCCTGCAGCTTTCAGGTTTTGAAAAAAGAAAGGGAGAAAAGTTTCCACACAGTAAAATCCATTGTGGCGCAATTCTGCGTACACCCACAGGAGGTTAAGTTCTTTTCAAAAGTGTGGGAGTTACCTCTGAGACAAACACATGGAACTGAAAAAAAAATCTTAGAAAGGATCATGATTGCAATAAGGGCGTGTTGAATCTAATTGGGGCAACACCCTAAAGGACTCTTTTGCACTCTCTTAAGTTTGTTAAGTAACTATCAGTAAGATACTGGCTTCAGTATCAGTGGCATAAAGAGGCTACACCTTTCAGGGAGTTAATAATAGGCAGGAATAACCAGTAGCATTCTCTAGTAATGTTTTAATAGGAGCTGGGATAGCTCATAATAGAAATGATGGCATACTTCCCTCCCCAGACTGCTCCAGATGGGACTTCATTATCCCTAAGGAAGGTATAATCAATTCATTGGAATATAAGAGTAGTATAATCATCATAAGTCTGCTGTTTTTGGTTAGTCTGCTGGACTAAAACAAGGACAAATCTGCCCACTGCCCCAAGGTTATGGTTTTATGGGTCCTCTCAGTGAGGTAGACCCTGCCTACTTAGTGAAATGGCTGCCTCAAGGAGCCAATTTGGAATTCCACAGAAAAGCCACAAATTGTTAGCGGGGTTTTTTTATTGTTGTCATTTTGGTGGTAGTGATGCTTCTGGAATTTTCTGACTCTTCTCCAAGGATAGCTTGCCTGGCTTTGGGTATTCCATACATTAACTTGGGTGGATGTGGATTGGGATTTGCTACCTAGCCTTATATATCAAAATTGCACGGACTGTCATTGTTCCACACATATCTGAAATCTTTTGGAGATAGAGATGGGGTAGTCTGTCAGGATTCCATCTCCCTCCCTGGGTGTCTTGTCCCACA